CAAGACTTCTTAATAACAAACTCAGAATCTTGAACCTGGCAAACCTCTGTTTTAAGGTGAGATTTCTTAAGTTTAATATTTGACACTAAAACTCCATCACCTATTGTTTATTTGATAGTTTTTATAATTATTATCTCTGGCTGGAGTAACATTAGTCATTCAGTGAAAAGTTTAATCATTACTTATGGATGTTTATTGGAATTTCAACAGCTATTTTACTTAATTTGTTTTTGTTATTTATGAAAAGTCTCATTTATTTTAACAGAACAACATCTCAGTTTGTTTCTGTATTCACCAACCAGTGTTTGTAGTTGTGTTAATTGTACTGCAAGAAATCAAAAATACAAAATGAATATCACAAGGATTTCTTCCAGTGTATCTTTTTAATTTGTTATATTCTCAAGTGCTATGCTACACAATGGGTAATATACACTCTGTCCATAGCGTAGAATCAAAACCTAGATGTTTACGTTACGTGTAAACTTACCGTAAGTTTGTTTTGTTTTTTGTTTTTTTAATTTCGCGCAAAGCTACACGAGGGCTATCTGCGCTAGCCGTCCCTAATTTAGCAGTGTAAGACTAGAGGGAAGGCAACTAGTCATCACCATCCACCGCCAACTCTTGGGCTACTCTTTTACCAACGAATAATGGGATTGACCATCACATTATAACGCCCCCACGGCTGAAAAGGGGCGAGCATGTTTGGTGGGACGGGGATTCGAACCCGCGACCCTCAGATTGCGAGTCGAGCGCCTTATCCACCTGGCCATGCCGGGCTCCTTGCCGTAAGACATCATTATTTGCATTACGTTTTCAAATTCCAGTAAACGTAATATAAGAACATGTTCAGTAAAAACAGGTCGTGAAATACTTAGCGAGCAGTATGTTCTCGACATATGTATTTAAAAATTGGAAGCAAAATAAAACATCATTTAACTATTATTCTAAAAAAGACGGAAGTTCGTAAATTATTGAAAATTCGAGGACATATATTTATTTAATGTAGTTATAACTATTTTAATAATAAAAACGTTCTTAATTAAGATGTACAAAAAAGGGTTTTGTAAAAAGTGCCATAGCGAAAACAAGCAATATTAACAGATGAATAGCTCTACTGGCATCTACTATAATAGATCTTTTTAAACGATCGTTCACTGTTTAACTATGGCCAAGTGAACCAACTGAATAAATTCAGAAAAGCATTGACATACAAAAAGTTTATAGAAACCTGTTCGTCATATAAACAAAACATCACATCTTACAACTTCCTCAAGATTCGATCACTTCAAGTGATCCCTTTGTTTTGATTTACCAGGCTTCTTATGAACTGAGTGATTTGTGAGTGAATGAAAAACATTCAAAACCAGTTTGTAGAAATGACGTAATGTGTATAGTAGACAGTATTTCAAAAAAGTTTAAATTATTCATCAGGCTGTTCGACTGGTATTATCAGAAACATTCTATGTTTAATATTTGTAAGCACGATCAAAAGTTAATTACTTTTCTACGTTAGTATTGTGACCTGGCTGTCTGGTATGAAATGTTCTTTTTATCAGACTTTGTGTTGTTGTTTTCTGTTTATTTTTCTCTGACCAAACTGTAAACATTGCAGACTGAAGTATACAACTGTTTATTCACTTACAGTTTATTGATTGTAAAACTATTCTATGGGCTATCTAGTATTCTACTTTACAAAATAAAACCTACACCAGTTTTTGTAAACATTTCTTAGAAAATCCATAATCCATAATGATAAGTCTCTTGCAAGTTCCTGGTCTGATTATCTGCATTTAAAGAGAAAAAAATTAAAGTGTAAACACAGTAATTAATACAAATACGAAATGCTTATAACGTACCATACAACATAGTATATACATTATTACAGCTTACACAAGTCTTTAATATCCACAACTGTTCTTATTTATAAGATACCATAACCAAGGTAACAATAATAGTAACTGTTGGAATAATCAAACAGAACATAATTTTTAAAACACATCAATAAATTCAACTATTGTTGACAGGGATGCAGGTCGACACCTTTGTGTTCAATCGTACAAATCTCTATTGTCAACAGAAGACGATACGTAAAGTTAAATACTGATGTAACTTATTAATAACTGTTGTTGATGTAATAAAAGTGATGGTATCGTTATTGTTTTGGCTGTGATATCCTGAATATCACAATCAAACTTTTATCAAGTTATGTTACTTAAAGTAGCTAATTCTAAAATACTGTAACGTTACGTTGATAATATTTTATTAAACTGTCTATTAATTTTATTGGAGCACAGGGCACGTGACCTCCACAAACATTCCAGAATATAGTATAATCATATATAAGATGATCGACGTTCTCTTGACACATTAATAAAAGTAGGACAGAACAACTAATGTTTGAAGTATAGTAGAGTCATATATAAGATGATCGACGCTCTCTTCACACGCTAACAAAAGTAGGACAAAATAACTAATGTTCTAAGTATAGTACAATCATATATATGATGATCAACGTTTTCTTCCCACACTAATAAAAGTAGAACAAAACAACTAATGTTAAGCTTGCTGACACAGCTCCTCCACCCAGAATTACTCTGTTATGGCGGCTGAGTTTCGGTAAATAAATAATAAAACCAGTTACTTTTAAACAAACTAATATTAATGTGATGCAGAGTTGTTGTTTTTTAACAATGTAGTTTATATCAATTAATGTTTCTACAGCCTTACCTTAAACTGTTGATGTATGTAACCTTTATTTATCCCTGATATCTTCCATAGTCACGATATCCTCCAACATATTCACCAATAATTCTTCCACCATATCTTCTACGATATATTTCTCTTCTAACATCTGAGCCCTGACCTTCAACTTCAGGAAGAATGAAACAGCCCAACAACAAGCAGACGACAAGAACTACAACAAGTGTCGTTTTCATACTTCACCGCAAATAACCCACCTTTTCATCATAAAATAATAAAGTAAACAGACTGAGTAACTAAGATACTACAGTGATGAACACAAAGTGACAACAAATCCGGTTTTTACTTTAAGAGATATTTTAGATGGATACACTCGTACTTTAAAACTGGACAAAAATTCTTTCTTTGTTTAAGATCTTTAGTTCGTATCTTCATTTCTTTTATCAATTTAACCACATACATAGAAGACATTTCTGACAAGAGACTTAAATATATTCATCAACCTAAATATTACTGACGTTTTCTTAAACTAATCTTCTATGTGACAATGGAGCACGTGCAAGATTAAGTTTACGTAAAATATATTGTGGTATAACTTTCGTAACATGTGTAAAATAACTTACCTTTTGGTTGATGTTCTCTAGATTTTCGAAGGGGAAGTTTTCAGCTCTGTACAAAGTCGTTTCTTTTATATTTATAAGTAACATTCAGATCTGGTTACGAAACGGTTTGGATGGGATTCAGTAGATTTCAAGGATACTTCTGACGTTTCACCAATAGGCAATGTTTCCTGTAGAAGTTAATTGTAAAAAAAGCTGTCTTCATTTCCATGTTCTCTGATTGGACAGTCAAGGATAGAAAGAGGTGTTCCCAAGTTCCTTGTAATAGGAAGTTAAATATTGCTAGCTGAGGATAGGCTAGAAGGATGCTGGTTCGATAAGGATTATCACTAAAGTAAGTTTCTGCTGAACGTTAAACTCATGTTTCAAGACTGTTCCCTAATGACAGTTGTTTGATATTAAAAGCTTAGTTCCCTGCAACATACGTTATTTAATATATTATAAAATTTCTTGCTGATGGTTAATTCAATGTGTAAATACATATCACAAATTAAAACTGTCAAAGCTTGTTTCCAGTTCTTGGGGTTTCTCAAGATTATCGTGTTAGGTTCACGTGTTCATAAATCTCTCTCTTTCTGTCTGAGAGGGATTTTGAAGCGTCTCTTGTTCGGTGGTTTGTCTTTATAGTTCAATATTTGTTCTTATAGTTGTGTTAGATTTATCGTTGTGAAGTTCAGGTGCTTGTTGGTTGGTTCTTGTCTCCTGGCTGTCGTTCGTCTAGACGTTTCTTTGCCACTCGAACTTTCGTACTGATACACAGTCATGGATTTATTTAACTATTTGATTTCATCATTAAAGAGAAACAAGATTTCTAATATTCATTCGGTTGTTAAAATATGGTTGAGTTCAATTCTCATATAGGCTGTGTTAATTTGTTTTTGACTTTATTTCTTATCATGAACGGTATATTTGTTAAGTAGGGTAACATTAGGGCAAATTCCTTTTTGGGTACATTATAAGTAATATAAAGGGTTAAATATTATTGAGCCAAAGGTGTGTTTTTTTTTATAAAAACAGAGAATAAATTATTTTGATATGAATTGGATCCATTAATGATCCTACATTGTTGGTAGACATAACATACCAGTGTCAAAAGTCATCATTAAATATGAAACAGCTGTAGAAATTATCAACATTTAAACAGGTAATATTACTTTGTTTGTTTGAAGTTAAGCACAAAGCTACAAAATGGGCTATCTATGCTTTGTCCACAACGGGTACCAAAACCCGTTTCTAGCGTTGTAGGTCCGCAGACATACCGCTGTGCCACTCTGGGGACAAACAGGTTGTAACAGAAAATGGACAAAGACTAACATTAAACAACAGTAGATATTAACAACATTTAAACAGGTAGTAACATACCAGTGTCAAAGACTAACATTAAA